AGCATGTGCTTGCAAGGAAATAGAAAACAGAATTACAGGATTGATTATATACTCGTAAATTTACTGACCTGGTCATTGGTCATTTGCAAAATTATTTTGTTAAAACACATTCTGATTGCACACACCAGTACTCTGAAGTTGACATGGAAGAGATGCTTGAGTTTATGATTGACAATATCTATGTGGTTTTTGGAGACCAAGTATTCCAACAATCTATTGGAATTCCCATGGGTACCAATTGCACTTATTATTATTATTATTATTAGCAGACCTATTTTTATATTCTTATGAGGCAGAATTTATGCAAAATCATATGCGTGAAAAGAAGAAAACACTTGCTGTGGGCTTCAACTCGACATTTAGATATATCGACGACACATTGTCAATTAATGGTAATTTCCATTCTCACGTCTAAACGATATATGCTGGTGAGCTTGAAATAAGATACCACAGAGTCTGATATATCTGTTTCATACTTGGATATTTTACTTGAAAAAGACGTTAATGGTAATCTAACAACCAAGCTCTATGATAAACGTGAATACTTTAATTTTTCTATCCTCAACTTCCCTTACTTATGCAGCAATATACCTTCATCACCTGCATACGGAGTAGAGATATCTCAGTTGATTCGATACGCAAGATCATGCTCTACGTATGAACAATTGCTAACGCGCGGAAAATTATTGACAAGCAAGTTGATGAAACAAGAATATCAGCAGTCTCGTTTAAAGTCTTCATTTCATAAGTTATATGGTCGATACAATGACATTGTCAGCAAATAAAATTTATCATTGAATCAAATGCTGTCTGATGTTTTTTTCATACTTATTGTTAGTCTATTATTTATGCACTGAATTGACGATGGATTTTCCCGTTATTTCCCGATCTTGAAAAGGAGCACACGGCGGGCGTGACCGGTCAGCAAGGGATGCTTACTCCTCCATGGCACCTGATCCCACCTGTGATGTTTCGGAGATGCGTGTTTGCTCTACTCCTATTTTGTATTGTTTTATGGACTTTGATATTCTATTATATTCAGTACTATTCGTTATCTCCATATCCTTCCTCATCATGCGTTAATGTGACAAATTCGATTTCTGAATGTTTATTTATTTTAAAATGAAAACTTCTCACTACCTCGTTATGATAGCAAGTTTTCTCATCTTGCATGTAAAAGCGTTCCCATTTTATGCGATTGTCTTCTTGGATTTTTTTTCCTGCTTCTGATATCCTATTATGCTTCTGATAATTTAGATTTCGATTATATCATTGGTTACTCTTTTTCACTATCCCTTTTCTGTATCTGCATTCCTTTTTCTTTTCTGCTTTGATTATATCTTCAATTTCTTTTTATATCATTTATTTCTTTTCTTTTTTTTAACAAATACGTTTCCTTTTCAAACATCGGTAGAAGCTACCATTGTTGGTATGATTGTTGACACAAGGTCGCAAAGCTACAGTGTATGTTCGCTCTAAATTCAACAATGAAACAGCTTTATGTAAATCATTGTACTTTGTTTTCTATTTTTGATACCTATGTGTGTAGTATCTTTGACTTTGGCTGTGAAGTTTGGAGAAACCACAAAGGCCAGGACACTGAAAAGGTTTATCTTGAGTGTATACGATACACTCAAATAAAAGGGGCAGACCCCCACCCACCCCCTGTTCCTACGTGCCTGCCTTGCAATGTCCCATTTTATGATTTAATTGTAAGGATTGTACGAATTCAATTTGTAAAGGTTTAGAAATCCAATGTATGTACGGATCTATATAGCACAGCCCTAACACTAGAACCCCTGACCCTGGGGCCATGAATTCCACAATTTTGCTAGAGGGCTTAATGTCGTTTACACTCATGCCAATAGTTTGACTGCTTGATGTCCAGGAGTAGAGAAGATTTTTAAAGATTACAGTATTTAAAGTGGTTTTGGCTCCACCCCCATTCACAAGGGGGGATGAGGCAGCGACCATGAAATTCATAATTTTTGTTTCCGTTCACCCATAGATTCTCTGTGCCAAAATTGGTTGAAATTGGTTAAGCAGCTGCAGAGAAGGAGCTGAAAATGTTCAAATTTAACACACGACGGGCGACGCACGACGACGGACGAACACAGACAGCAATAGGTCACCTGTGTTTACTCAGTTGATCTACAAATGTTTTAAATTTTAAGAGCATATATTTTTTACTTTTTATTTGATGACATTTGTATTACCCCTTCTTTGAGAGCTGCACGTTATCATAAAGTCAAAAACACACTATTACGACGTCAATTTACCTATCAGTTTAATGATCGTTTTAAATTTAGTTATAGAAAATTGTAATTAGATTTTTCAACCTGCGATTTCCTAATTTTGTTAGTTTTCTTTAATTAAGTGAATAAAAAATTGATTTTAAACAGAGATTACGCTATATTTTACTAAGATGCGCGAAATATTGCGCAATGGAAACCCCAGTCGGTCCCTTTAAATACGGAAAGTAATTAAAATGTAGTAGAAAAGTAATTGATACTGCATGTTACCTTTTTCAGTGTACTTAATTGAAATACAATTATAATTTATTGAAAAATGTTTCAAAACAATCACTTCCAATGACATTGAAAAATATATTTAATTACAACATTACGACTATTTTAACTACCTCACTCCCAGTGGTGTCGAGCTTTAACATTTTTGTATAGGGAAATGTTTGAAAAGGAAATCAACAAACTTTAAACTGTACGATGCAACGGTACAAAAAACTTGACCTTTCAGCACTGAAATTGTACTTTGATTAATTACATGAATCCTTTTCATCCTGCACTGAAATTGTTCTTTGATTAATTACATGAATCCTTTTTCTATTTAATCAGATTTAATCATGGCAATAAATATTATACATTTATTGCATGATAGTGAGGGAAATACAAAGACTTATTCAGCCAAGAAAAATCATATTCCCCGAGGGCTTCGCCCGAGGGGAATATGATATTTCTTGGCTGAATAAGTCTTCATGTTTCCCGAACATTCATGCAATGAATTGTTTATTATACCGAAACAAACAAAACCTTTGAAATAAACATAAACTTTCAAATTTGACACCGCTCTCAAATTCACTTTCATTTTTCACAAAACGTTACTAAAACTCTTTGGTCAACACATTATCATCAATTTTATGACGTAAACCAGGTTATTATGACGTCTTCTATACTCTCGGGAGTTTTCTTTAAACGAACGATGATTTTTGCGGGAAAATGCACTAAGTATCCGAAGAGGTGGAATAAAAGCATGCCGACGGCCGGGAAATTATTACGGCCCGATCACGTGATAACTTAGAACCAATCAGATGACGCGTTGTTTAGAATATTTATAATGAGGTATAATAGAATCTCTTATTACATTTTTAACGGTGAAATACTCTAATTTATTCAATGAATAAATGATATTATGTCAAAGGATATCACACATATACATTTGTGGTATCTCTCTATTATATAAACATGCAGAGAGCAAATATCTTCATATCTGTATGAAGTTTTATTCAAAGGTAATTTTTTGCAAAAGAATCTTATTAAATGTATGTTTTTTCAAATGACCTTCATTTCATATATTTCTAATATATTGAATATAATATACTAGTATATCTAATTTCTGTGTCATTTCATGTAAAAACTACAAATTTTAACAATATAATGTCAAAAATTTAAATATTGTTTTATTAGAGTACAGGAAATGAGAATAACAAATACCATGCACCACTTAGGGACATCTTTCTGATCTATGAAATCAGTTTAAGCTGAGGGGATGTTAGTTCTTATAATCCTCTAGATCTGGACTATCTGTTGCTTTGTGATATTATAATTATTCACCCTCTTAATTATCTGACAGGTGGATTGGACGTTGAATGATATAAAGCATGACATGAACAAATGTTTCTTATATCAATATGCAAAATTATGATTTTTAAGGTGCGTGGAAAGTATTCGTATTCATATTTAATATAGAAATTCTGATATGTCGACAATATTCACGATAACAGTATTATTGGAATTTTAATGTCCGTATTGGGAAAGCCCTTTTTTAAGCGCTTGCGCGGACTTTTTTGTATTTGCTTAAAACAGGAAACAAGGAAATAAAATGCAGCTTTGTTTGCAATTGTTAATAAACATGATTCCATACTGAAGGAGAGCACTCTTATTGGTTAGTGTTGTCTTTCATTATTCAAAAGGGGTAATTTCTTTTTCATGATGCAGTTTTTTTTTCACTTTTAATTATTTTTCTCCGAATTATCCCTTTTTCATGACTCTTTATTTTTGTTCTTTTTCTCATCTTATATTATAATACTTGACATTTTATTATTTTTTTGATTCTTCTTTCTTCGTTTTACTACCTCTGATTTTTTCATTCCTTTTTTATTGAGTTTTTTTTATCATTTAGTCTCCATATTGAAGAATGTCTGAAGCTTAATCCAATGCTTGATTTTGTATAACAAAGCTAACAAACTAGGCAAGCAAAGGTAGTATCGTGAACCAGGAAAAAAAATCCATTTTTGTGGAACAAATTAACAACTGTGGTATGATAGCTATGTTGAAAAAAGTATGAACATTTATTGAGGACATTTAGTTAAACAGGCTTGTAAACTATTTTGTCTATACTGACATATGTACATCAAATAATTCTGATTATCAGAATGCTAAATTCCAAGAGTCTTGTATGTGAATTTTTTTATTTACCTTAATTCGAGAGAATAAGATTTTTATAAAGAATTATCGATTTTCATCACATACATGTTTGATCATTAGACCCCCGTCCTAAATTCTCGAATTTTGATTTGGGGTCATGGATTTCACAATTTCGGCAGTGGACTCAAAGCTTATTATAATTACAATCAAGACAACAGCTTGACTGCTTAGTGTCCAGGAGATTAGAAGATATCTTAGGAATAAGACTAATTTTAATTGTTTTAGTCCCAAGCCTCGGGTTCGAGAAGTCAGTTACAATTAAATTACCAATTATGTATACTTCCCCTATTCATGCTTTTCATAATTATATTCTTAATTCGGTTGAAATTGGTAATAAATAAGTGATTCAAGAAAAGAAATTGAACAGGTTCTAAAGTTGACTACCGACACATAGCGTACGACGATGGACAACATGGATAGCAATAGGGTTACCTGAATGACTCGGATGACCTGAAAAATTTGCATGAAAGAAATGGAGAAAAAAATAAAACATGTCGTGAGCATGATAATAAAATATTCCAAGGAACGCATATGTAACCTGTTTTAAAGCAGCATAAAAGGTGGACGTAAATCTAAAACTGGAGAGATATAGTCATATGTTAGAGAGAGAGAGAAAGAGAGAGAGAGAGAGAGAGGTGTTGGCAGCACCACTCTATAGTATATGTTGCAGGATATTAGATGTCGCTTCTCAATTTAGTCTTTTTTTTAGATTCTTTGTCGAAGAAGGATGGCCCAAAACAAGGCGCTTATTACCGATCTATTCTCGTCTGCTTTAGGTTTAGCTTTTTGTGGTGTTGCTACGGTAACACCTGGATTCTTTATTACTCGGGTAATTTTCATTCTTTTCTGCAATATAACAATTAAGAGAGAATACATCCGTATGTTTTACAGAGTTCAGGAAATATAAATCTCTTTACATATATTCTATTGCAGAATGGAAGGATGAGCATCTTTTACTTTAACTATAAGGAGTTTGGATCTGACTCATGGTCAACAAAGACTTACCTAGCTTATGATGAGGAGCACGATACGAATGGATCCACTCAGCTCTGTAAGTTAATCTCTCTCTCTCTCTCTCTCATATTAGTTTTGTCAGATGTATTCAACTTAAAAAATACACAGACACATTTGAAGAGCTTCGATTTTCATAGCCCTCAAAAGTGGTACCACATCGGACATAACGTATCATAGGTAATGGAATAAAAAAATCTTTAGGAAAGAAAAATGTTTCTTTTTTCAGCAATGCTAGATGTGCAGTTGGAAAGCCTACTTACTCTTGTTCTTGGTGGATTCGGTTGGTTGATTCTTTTGTCAAATACCAAGAAAACAGCGCCAATTCCACTGATGTGTTTGACTGGGGGAATATTTCTACTTGTGGCAGGTAACAATGCTTTGTCTTCCTGTGTCCCACCTCTACAATCTAAGACGTTTTGTAATTTTCGAATACCAACACTTGCCTTCATTAAAAGTGTCGCATTTGTCAGTTATAAATATTTGGAGGGACGTAAACTTTAAATGCCACAACGTGCTGAAAGACAAAAACATAGAAAATACGATCTTGCAATTTTGGACAAAACTATTACTGATGATTCAAACCAGGAAGATTTTTTTTCTGATTATGTCAGGATGAAATGTCTTGAATTTGATTCTTAACATTGTTTATTATTAATAATTAATTATCTTTTTTCAGCTACTTCTGAGTTAGTGGTTCTGGTACGATTTATAGCTTTAAATACTAGTTATAACGCTGCAGTAACAAATTCAAAAAAAAGGTTCGATAGCCTCGAGCGACCGAATGTCGAGGTTCCGATCTCCCTTATTCTTGCTGGCGTTGGTATTACCTATATTCTTATTGCTGTGGTAAGAATTTTTATTCGCAATAAGAGATACCAATTAACCACCGAGAATTATCATCAGATGTCAAATGATCCTCGGATTCAGGATTGATTCTCAACACTTGCCGAATGAAAACGAGAGATGTAACACAGAAGCCAGGGTCCAAGGATAAAAAAACCCACATAAACTTTTATTCCATAAATAACATAACTCGTATGTAGCAGTATTTCACAAAGCTTTCTATTCAAAAATGTTGACCTAGCTAATTCATATTTTCCAGGTAGAGTAGGAAAATTTTGTAGGATTTTGTAACATTTTGAAAAAAAAATATTTGCACAGTTTATTATAAGATCAGACACAAAACAAAGTCGCATGTCAAAGCACTAGAGAATATTTTTTTTATACCAACTCAAAAAAACCTGACAAGCAAAAAAAAAAAAAAAGGAAATGAAAATTCCCCGAGCACGAAAATCCTATTACATGTAAGTGGGGGGGGGTTAATTCGAACTTCAGTACCAAAATTTTTTTTTAATACACCACCTTCTTACCATTTTACCTATACTGCGATATGTCTGTGGAAAGTGGGGGGGGGGCTAAACCTACAAAGCAATGTTCAATGTCTATATAAGTATACATTTGGAAAAAAAGGAAAAAAAGTGGGGGGCTAAGTCAATACTTAGTATATATTTGGAAAAAAAGTGGGGGGGGGGGCTAAGCCCACCTAGCCCCCCGGTTCCTACGCCTATGATTTGCATAACATTCGATGCCAGTTGTGCATAAATTATCTCACGTATAAACTGTCGTTGATGTCAGAGACAAATACAGCTGATTGAAACTGATAATTATGTATAATAGGCACTCGACTTTTCACATGGCGAATATTACATTCAGTTACAATTATCGAGTAATAAACACGCCTGACAGTTGGAAATGTAATATTGTATTTTTTATTTCTATCAAAACATGTATCATTGTGTTGTGAGGTGTGTAGTATTTGTATTGTTTCATTGTTTCATCATGTATATTATTAGTAACATTAAGTTTCTTGAACATTCCAGAGTGGTCAACATGTTCGGTCATTGTTTCTAGAACATTCCTGAACTTTGTGTATGTCCAGAACTTTCCAGTAATATCATGTACTTACAACTTCTAGAATATTCTAGATTTCTAATACTGTATAAATATCCTGTCAATTCGATGAATAGATACTTTTGTCGTATGAGCACCGTTGAGTTACAACTGGGACATATTTTAACTGGGACATTGTGTGCAGCAACGGACACTCTGATGTATGTATTTTTAGATTTGTGCTAAGTTTGTACTTAATGATTTGTATATTACTGTAAATAAATTATTGTTAAGTTTAAACTGTGTTATTGATCTTTGCTGGCATTTAGGTGTTATTCAAACTGACCCATTTTAACAGATTGTTATTGATCTTTGCTGGCATTTAGGGTAATTCTGACCCATAACAGAATTGGGGGCTCGTCCGGGATAAAGAATTTCTTGCACTTTTGCAGTTCATTGTCAAAATTTTGTTAATTGAACCGTTAAATTTGATTATAAGCCAGCAAAAATCAACATGGTATTTTCGGTCACAGACTTTCTTAGTTCACCAAGTGTTCAGGTTTTTGATACATTAAAAAAGGATGACTTGATCGCGTTAGGTTTGCATCTTGGGTTAGAGGTTAAATCTTCACAGAGAAAGCAAGACATTAGAATAAAGGTTGCAAACAAACTAGTTGAAGAAAACATCTTTGGAAAATATGATCTTCCAGATTATACACTTAAATCAGAATCTTATAATATGTCAGAATTTCAGTATCAAGTAGAGTTGGAAAAAATGAGATTTGAAGAACGAGAGCGTGAACGGAAATTTGAATTAGACAAATTAGAAAGAGAAAGAGAAGAGCGAGAAAGAGAAAGACAAGAGCGAGAAAGAGAGCGTGAAATGAACTTTGAATTAGAGAAATTAAAATTACAAAACCAACCAGAACCGTCAGTTGTCAAAACTGAATTTGACGCAGCAAAAAATATCAGATTAGTTCCAAAATTTCAAGAAAAATCTGTAGACAAATATTTTCCCCAATTCGAAAAAGTCGCAGAGAATCTTAAATGGCCACGAAATGTTTGGTCAACAATGTTACAAAGTGTACTGGTTGGCAAAGCAGCTGAGGTATACTCTGCACTAGGGGTAGTTGAAAGTTTAGACTATGAGAAGGTCAAAGCAGCAATATTAAAAGCATATGAATTAGTACCTGAAGCGTATAGACAAAAGTTCAGAAAGTATAGAAAGTTTGATAATCAAACATTTGTTGAATTTTCACGAGAGAAAGAAGATTTATTCGATCACTGGTTTAGATCTAAGAAACTTGATAAAACCTTTGCTAATTTGCGCCAAGTCATCCTGGTAGAAGAGTTTAAGGAATGTGTTTCTCAAGATTTGAAAACACATTTAGAAGATAAGAATGTGAAAACTCTTGAAGAGGCAGCAGTCATATCTGATACTTATGCTCTGTCTCATAAAAAGAATTTTGTATCAAGATCTCAGACTAGCAGTAATTCTACCAATTCAGACACATATAAAAAGAGTGGTTCAGGGTCTCAGTCTTTCACAAGTTCCCAGTCTCCATCCCAAGGTGGTTCTAAGTCCGGTCCAGGACGTTTTGAAGGATCTTCTGGAATAGGGTCGCTTCCTACTTGTAGTTATTGTAAGAAAAAAGGTCATCTGATCAGTGAATGCTTTAAACTTAAGAGAAAAAATGATTTTGATAAAACTCAACCACATGCTTGTGCGGCAGTTAGAGGTGATAGAGAAGCCTTAGTTTCGATTTGTTCTGACACTCCTGATGTCCAGGGTTCACAGTCCAGTTCTATTGATTCTATGGAGGATTATAAGCCCTTTATGTCTCAGGGATTTGTTTCACTCGGTGACTCTAGCGAAATTAAACCTGTCAAGATTTTGAGAGATACTGGTGCTGCACAGACGTTATTGTTAGAGGGCGTGCTTCCTTTGTCTGAGCAGACTTCTACTGGTGGGTCAGTTTTATTACAGGGTGTGGAGCTAGGTGTCATTGATGTTCCCCTGCATAGAATTAGTTTGAAGTCAGATTTAGTTACTGGACCTGTTATCGTAGGTGTTCGACCTACTCTTCCCGTTCCAGGCATTTCTTTGTTGCTAGGCAACGATTTAGCTGGTGGAAAAGTTGTACCAGATCCTATAGTTTGTGAGAAAATCACTTCCAATGTCATGTGCGATGATGAAGATGATGACATTTATCCAGCCTGTGCTGTTACTAGAGCGATGGCCAGAAGACGAGAGATGGAGGCAGACCATAATCAAGCCTTTGACGAGACAGATTCCTCTGTTGATATTGATTTGAATGACACTTTCTTATCTGACCTTGATGGCACTCAAACAAGCATGGAACCACACAATATCAAGAAGCAAGAGAAGAAAGAACTTTTACCAAAATTTGGTGGTGAGGATGATGAGTTGCATCCACTAGTTAGCCAAGGCAAGGACATCCTCAGCCGAGAACGTTTACTCTCTGAACAACATAAAGACCCAGATATCATTCAACTTAGTAAGAGGGCACTTCCACCAGAAGAGGCTACTAAAGTTGGAGAATGCTTCTATATGAAAGATGGCATCCTTATGCGAAAATGGCGACCACCTGACGCTTCCCCAGATGAAGTGTGGCGTGTTGTTCACCAGATAGTGGTCCCAGCTGCTTATCGTCGAGATGTCATGAGTTTAGCTCACGATACACCTATGGCTGGTCATTTAGGTATCAATAAGACTTATAATAGGATTTTGAGTCATTTTTATTGGCCTAAGCTAAGAAAGGATGTTTCGAAGTTTTGCAAGTCATGCCATGTCTGTCAGATGGTAGGTAAACCAAATCAGAAGATACCATCTGCTCCTCTCCAACCCATTCCAGCTTTTGAAGAACCGTTTAGTCGAGTGTTGGTGGATTGTGTAGGACCTTTGCCTAGGACTAGATCTGGAAACCAGTATTTACTTACCATTATGTGTACATCCACTCGGTTTCCTGAAGCCATACCTCTTAGGAATATAAAGGCAAAGAGCATAGTTAAGGCCCTAACCAAGTTTTTCAGTTTTGTAGGAGCACCCAAGGCAATTCAGTCGGATCAAGGCTCAAATTTTATGTCGGGGTTGTTCCAGCAAGTCATGCATGAGTTGGGTATTAGGCAGTATCGATCAACTGCTTATCATCCTGAGTCCCAGGGAGCGCTAGAACGTTTTCATCAAACCCTAAAAACAATGCTAAAGACCTATTGTTACCAGTATGAAAAAGACTGGGATGAAGGGGTTCATCTTGTACTATTTGCTGCACGAGAAGCAGTCCAGGAGTCTCTTGGGTTCAGTCCTTTTGAATTGGTGTTCGGTCATACAGTTAGAGGTCCTTTGAAATTGTTGAAGGAAAAGTGGCTGACTGAGACTAGTGATCTTAATCTTTTAGATTATGTGTCTGATTTCAAAGAAAAACTTTACAATGCTTGTAAATTAGCACAAGAAAATTTGAAAAGTTCTCAGATGAAAATGAAAATGTGGTATGACAAAGATGACAGAAATAGGGTGTTTAAGCCAGGTGATAAGGTTCTTGTATTTTTACCTATTCCTGGTCATCCTTTACAAGCCAGATTTTATGGCCCTTATGAAATTGAAAGCAAGATCAGTGATGTAAACTATGTAGTTAAGACACCAGGTCGACGTAAAGAGAAACGGGTTTGTCACATTAACATGTTAAAAGAGTATTTTGAAAGGTGTGACCGAAATTCTGTAAAACCAGTTTCCACTTTAGCCAATGCTAAGACTGTTCAAAATTGTATTGAAAGTGATACGAGTGTAGAAATGAATGAGAAAGATTGTAATCAGAGTGTCCGCTTGAAAAACTCAGAAATTTTGGCTGATTTTGATGCCAAACTTGGACATTTGAACATTCACCAAAAAGAACAAGTTAAAAACTTGATGAATGAGTATCATCAAATCTTCTCGGATGTTCCAAAGAAAACTAATGCAGCTTGTCATGATGTTATAGTTGGCGACGCTCTGCCTATCAAACAACATCCGTACCGTCTCAATCCAATAAAATTGCAGTACCTAAGAAGGGAAGTGCAGTACATGTTGAACAATGACATTGTTGAACCTAGTAAAAGTGATTGGAGCTCACCATGTATTCTTGTACCAAAACAAGACGGTTCCTACCGATTATGTACAGACTTTAGAAAGGTGAATTCTGTTACCAAAACTGATTCATATCC